TCTTATGCCAACCCATGATATACAGAAACCTCAACGGAGAAAGTTGAGATGCGGAAGGGATAACTGTCCTGCAGCTCCAGTGGTTGCCAAAACAGATATTTGTGAATGAAGAACTGCCAAAGTCCCAATCTGACACTATGTGAGACTTAGTAGCACCTAATTCCTCATACTCAGCCCTGACTCCTCCTGAGACAACCTGCTCACATAGAATTCAATTTTGGGCAGAATACAGTAGTACGATTTAAACAAAAGTACTCTAAAAATATGATGTTGATTCGCAAGCCACCTTTAAAGGAAGCTTAACTCTTTCACAGTAAATATGTGAATTGATTAACTGAACAGCTGCTGTGCTTTACCAGAAAATAAATCTGTACTGACATTAAAGATTATAAAAACCATTAAGAATATTTCCCAGAGACCTTTTAAAATAAAAAAGTAATGACCTTCAAAAACAATTTTTAATCGACATAGAACAAAATATTTATAGTAGCACTTTTGTAGTAGCAGAAACCTAGAAACAAAGTAGGCGCTCATCAACTGGGGAATGACTGAACAAATTGTGGTATATGAATATAATGAAATGTCTTGTGATGTAAGAAGCAAATATAAATTCAGAGAAAAATGTGAAGATTCAGATGACATGATACAGGGGAAAGCAGAATCAGAGCAATATACGACTCAACTAATGTGAATCAAAAGAACACTAAAATGAAAGGTAATAGAGATGCAGCTTCTGTCTTTTCCTGGTGGGAGGGGGGGGGAGACACCAGCCCTATAGAGCAGAATGCTATGTACGCTATCCAGCGTAGTCATTGCTTTGGTTATGCTTAACTTTTGTTGCTGTTGTTGTTACTACAAGGGAAGGCTCACTGGGTGGAGTATATCTGGCTATAACATGGAAAATATCACCTCCATTTTACAAATGAAGAAATTGAGGCTGTTACTATGGAGTGGGAATGCCAAGATATGAACCTGTATTTCCTGAACCTGAGTTCAGCTGGGTGGTACAGTGGATAGAGTCAGAAACCCTAAGTTCCAATCTGGCCTCAGATACTTACTAGCTGTGTGATCCTAGGTAAGTCACTTAACCTCTGTCTGCCTCAGTTTCCTCATCTGTAAAATGGGGATAATAACAGCATCTCTCTCTCTCTCTCTCCCTCCCTCCCTCCCTCTCAGGACTGTTGTGAGGATAAGATGAAATAATATTTGTAAAGTGCTTAGCACAGTACCTGGCCCATAGCAGGTGCTTAATGTTTATTCCCTTCATTTCCCAATGCAAATGCTTGTTCCTTTTTACCTGTCCTCCCACAAGGTCAATGCCCTTTCCACAATGCTACATTTTATAATTATTGAGAAAATGACACATGGGAATAAGGGCTCAATATCCGACTGTTGTTTCTATTTCATAACTGGTGATTTATGAGTAACTGGATTAGCTTGGTCATTACCATTTTTTGGGGGCAAAGTCACCCACATGCATTCACTTGCCACAAAAAACTAAACCTTCCCCTGGAAGAAGCATCTCTTGATCTCTAGTTCCTTGTATTTGGTATTTTCTGATGTAAGAGGGAGAAGAAAGAGGCACCTGAGGATGGAGTGGGGAATAGAGGGGAAAGAAATCAGAGTCAGCTGTGATCTCCTTTGTTAAGGTTTCTGATGTCTCTGTTTCATATTACTACAAAAATCCTCCGCACAGAAGTATCTTCTCAGAAAGCTGCTCACTTATTCATGCTGTTGGCTGGGTTTCCAGAAATAGTCACTCTAAGAGTAAACAGTTGCCCTAACACTGCGCCCCCCCCAATGGCTAAGAACCTCATCCAAATCCAGCTCTGTTCCATGTGGAGACATCAGAAGACCCATGGGGAGAGGGGGGAAGGGGAGGTGAAAATCAAATTTTAGTCTTGCACCAAAGAAACAGTTATTAGTCGCTGGTGCTACATTATCAAATATTTAAAGGAAAGGATAAACTGGCTGAAATTCTGGTTCTTCCTATGTGATAACCTGGGGATTCCAGGTGAAAAGAAAATGGATGCTCCTCTACAGAACACAGAGACAAGAGCCCTGCTGACCCACTGAAACTAGGCCGAGGGCTGCGGCGACTTGTTTATCAGTCACAGTGACAGCCTGCATTGCAGTGTGTGGCTTTGGAGCACAGTGGAGCTGCCTAGCCTATGAAGGCACAGAACCTGCTGTCCTGGCCTCAGGAACAGCCAATCATTCAAGGCCAACACCGTTCTGAAACACCCCAATAACACGAGGGTGATTTATCTTCTAACTAGAACACCCGAGTGTCTCTCCTATGATTTACAGTTAAACAAATTCAGGGTCACTTAAGTACAAATGAAGAAAATCCCCACTGATTCCAATTCTCTCCATTTGGAAGCTGAGGTCATAGCCTGAGTCCACCCCTCCTCCTTCCTTTAGGGCTGTCCTTGTGCTGAGACTCCTGCTGAGAAGCCACGTGCAGGTCCCTTCTCCAAGCTCACCCAGGACTCAGCCCTGCTGGGCCCAGGGGGCTGCCTGCCTCAGGCTTTAGCACTGCTCCTGGGAGCCAAGCCAGCCACTGCAGAAGCAGAAGAGGGCCAGGTCACTGTGCTTATCCCTATGGCCACTCTAGCCATGCAGCAATGACAATGCTTTTTCTAGTCCCAGCTCAATGACCATATTCGGAGCAGGGGTTCCCATTACTTTTCGAGCTACATTTAGTTTGCTACAGACCAGAGGTTTTAACCTGGGGTCCATGAACTTGGATAAGGGAAAAAAATGCATCTTTATTTTCACTATCTTTGCCTTCTTTTGTAACCCTGTGTATTTCATTTCATGCATTTAAAAACATTTATTTTGAAAAGGGGTGACCCCACCCCCATGTTTACCTTCCAATACACAAAAACCGTTCAGAAGCCCCAGTCTAGACAGAAACTCTCATCTTGCAGGGCTGGGAAATGGGGGTGCTCTGGGTAATCAAATGTTTTGGCAAACAGTAACCACAGATGGTTAGAGGCAGCTAGGTGGCTCAGTGGACAAAGCACTGGGCCTGGAGTCAGAAAACCAGAATTCTCATCTGGCCTCAGATACTCAGTAGCTGTGTGACCCTGGGTAAGTCACTTAATCTCTGTTTGCCTTTATCTACTGGAGAAGGAAATGGCAAACCACTCCAGTATCTTTGCCAAGAGAACCCCATAGACAGTATTGGCGTGTTATAGTCCACGCGGTCACAAAAGGTCTGACGTGACTGAATAACCACCCCCACCATAGACAGGACACTCATTTTTAAGACATTTAAAGCACAATGGAACACAGCATTTAGTACAGGGCCTGGCAAATAGCAGATGCTTAATAAATGTTCATTGACTAGTGAGTGACTACAAAATACAACCTGTACAGAGCTGAGATTAATCAGGAGTGGTGCAGGACCTCAGGGGTTGGAACAGCAGCTGGAATTACTATAATGCTTGAAACATATGGAGCCTCTTACAGACATTCTCTGTCATCTCACAACCCTGTGAAGTATAGTCTCTAGGTACTATTATTCCTTTTTTAGAGATGAGGAAAACTGAGGCGCAGGTTTGAAATGACTTGCCTAGGATCTCACAGCTAGGAAGTGTAAGGTGGGATTTGAACCCAGGCATTTAAAATCAACGACATCAAAGTGTTGAGCGTACAATGCAGTGCCAGTTAAGAGAGAGAGAGAGAGAGAGAGAGAGAGAGAGAGACAGAGGACTGCAGCTAGCAGGACTCCAGAGAAGAGTTGACTCTAAGAGGTACTTCCACTTCCAAGCACCAACAGTTCTGTAATTCAGACCGACTACTCCCAAAGTTTCATTGCCCTTCTCATCTTTCTATGAAAAGGATGTTTAATTTATAGAACTGAAAGCAGAGAGCTAATTTGCATCACATAACTGAAGCTCTGAACTAAAGTATTTTTGCTTAAGTTTTAAAAGGAAATGAAATATTTATTGAGTGGATTCTATGTACAAACCCCCTGGACTTGGTGGGAGATAAAAACAAGGCTAAGACAAAGAAAAAAGGCTTTTGCTCAAGAATCAAGAGGTAGAAGAATATGCCTGAATTCAATCAGGTCCATATAATCAAGGCTGGGACAAAGAAAGGCAAGAAGAAATTAATGAACCAGATTTTAGAATCAAAAATGCCCCCCATCCCAAATTGGTGAAACTATATTCAGTCCAGGTAGTTACGGTTTCTCCATTAAGGCAGAAAGGCCTATGCGGGTCTTTGGAAATATTTTTTGAGCCTTCTATCTATGTAATTAGCAAGTAATTCACTGGCAATTCTGAGAAAGACCTAAAATAACAAACACTGAAGTGCTTTACAATGTAAATCATTAGGAGGATTTTGACTTCCTTGTAAATAATTGTTACAATGACCAATTAGTACTCGGTGAGCATCCTAGGGTTCAGAGTCCTGTTGTCAAGGACCCACTTAGTAAATGTAGAGACGTTCATCACCAGGCAATGGAACCACAGGCAGCAATTTTTTTTAGCCATAGAAACTCAAACACTTTTCGTCATAGAAGAGATTCTAATTGCTGGGAGGAGAATCTGCAGAAGGAAACACCTTTCTATTCTAAGACCCTATGAGATTTAGATACAACACAGATTAGATACAGTTCCTAACACTTTAAGCCACTTATTTTAGAATACAGTATCCCTAAGGCATCTGTAATACCATTGTGGACACATCATAAGACAGATAAAACCCCTGTGTCCCAGGCACCCATATTAGGACAGTAATAGTGGAGGACAAAAAGATCTGTAGCATCTCAATCAGCAGTAAAACGGGAAGCTGGACGGGGCCTTAGAGATCAACACAAACCCAAGGCCCAGAGAGGTGAAGTGACTTACTCAAGGTCACACAGGTAGTAAGTGGCAGAGCAGAGATTCAAACTTGGACCTTTCAACGATCAAAGAGCTCAGTGCTCTTTTCACCAAGCTTGACCTTTCGCTCTCTATAGCTACCTAGGTGTACTCATTAAATCCTACCTGAATTTTGATCAATCCATTGAAGAGAATCCATATGTGCATTCAAAATTTTACAGATCTGCTGGAGCTAAAAAAAGACAAAAAATACATGTTAGGTTCTGATCCTCTCCCCTGAAAGAGAATCAAGAGTGAATAAAATGACTTGAGGGTGGTATTAAAAAATCCAATCGGATACTCCTTATCTGCTTGGTAACTGTAGGGTTGATATACACTTGTCTTGGAGAGAACTATCAGTATGTGCTGCTTTCTCCTGCTTTATATTTGTAAAATTAAAGCAGTTCTTTGAATCAACTGTCCATGAGCTGCCATGTACACAAAACAATGTATTCTGGAATGTTCTGTCCAAAACAACAGAGAGCAGGAACAATGGGGGAATTTGTCTGAGACAGGACTCAAGGCACTGCCAGTCAGTGGGGGAGACACAGAAACCAAGTTAGAAAAGGCTAACTCCAAAGTGCTTGAAGATCTGAGAGCTCCCTGCTAGTTGGAGACGGGATTAAGGTTAGGGTCTCTCTCCTGTCCGGTCCTGCCCCACCCCGCCCTATGAGAGCACAAAGAACACTGATGAGCTTCAGATGCTTTGAAAAGTTTTAGTTGTAGAGTTCTGCCCTTCAGAGTTTAAATACCTACAACAGAGCTGGTTGTTGAGTTCTTTCAGTCCTGTCTGACTCTCCGAGACCCCATTTAGGGTTTTCTTGGCAAAGATCCTGGAGTGGTTTGCCATTTCTTTTTTACAGATGAGGAAACCAAGGCAAAGAGAGGTTAAGTGACTTGTCTAGGGACACACAACTAGTATATGAAGCTGAACTTGAACTGAGAAATGATGAATCTTCCAGGCCTGGCACTCTATCCACTATGGCACCTAGCTGCCCATATAATAGGAGCTGAACAAAGAGCCATAGCTCACTTTTATCACTGGAGTGACAGGCATTAAAAATAAGTAAGATAATGTTGAGAAGGGGCAGAAGTGGCATGTGGGGTTGGTCCTGTAGCCCCAAGATATGTATTGCTTGGACACTTGTGGGGGTCTCCATGGAAGTATTACTGAGATATTGGCTGCTTCCTCTCCCGTGGCAGAACAAGTAAATCTGAGATACTCTCACTTCAAACCTATTGCCTCAAGCAACCTGGATGTGCTGGCTTTTACTTCCATAAGAAGTAAAAGTGGAGAGCGGTTGGCGGCATTTAAATTCATGCCCCCAAGAGTGGGATCAACGTGGTGCGACACTGAGGGTACCAGTGTCTCAACATAAACTGTCCAAAGTGAACACAGTCCTGAAAACCTGTAGGTGGAAAATCTAAAAGACTGGGCAATCTAGAAATGGATTCAAGTGGGAGTACACTGTGACAAGAGGCGTGGAGGGATACTGGGGATACAAACCAGTGCCAGCCACCAAGGAGAGTATATTCTACTCATATATACAAAGTGCGAACAATGGAATTTGAAGGAAGAGGAGAATCGGGAAAGGCCTCACGTGAGAGTTGGCATCTGAGTGAGTCTTAAAGGCAGAAGAGAAGAAGCAGAGAATGCAGGGATGGGGCAAAGTCTATGTAAAGGTATGGAGAGGAGAGAGAGAATGTCATGGGTGAGTGAGGAAGAGTTCAGGCCTGAAAGCATAAAGCGTGTGAAGGGGAGTAATAACAGACAATGACTTTTCAAAGCCGGCCTGGAACTAGCCAGATTATAAAGAGGGTTGTATATGCCAAAGAGAGAAGCTTGTACTGATCACAAAGGCAGTAAGGTATGAAACCACTTGCTTCTGGAGCAGGGGAGTCATGTGGTCACACCTAGGCTTTAGGAAGATCACTTTGGCAGTTGTATAGTTGGAATGGACAGGGAAGGGACTGGAGGCAGGGAGACTACCTTAGGCAGCCTTGACCAAAGTGCAGCTGAGAGATGAGGAGGGGGTTGGAGGCTGTGGAAAAGGACAGCATGAGGCAGATGGGAAAGAGGCTGTGAAGGGAGATTCAACAAGATTTGGCATCTGACAGAATATGTGGGCTGACGATGACTCTGAAGATGTGAATCTTGGTGACCAAAATGAGATTTCTATAGAGAAATCCTCTCCAGAAATAGGGAAGTTTGGAAGAGGGGTGAATTTTGCAGAAAAGAGTTTTCTTTTGGACCTAAGACCTTTAAGGGCAGGGACGATTTAATTTTTTTTTTTTTGCCAGGAGAAAGACTAAATTTGGACGGTTAGATCTAGAAGAAGTCATCTAGGGAACGAAGATAAATGAACCCACAGGACCTGATGAGGTCACTAAGAGAGTGTGCATAGTACAAGTTTTTAACCTGAATTTCAAGGGGATTTATGAACTTGGATGGGGGGGGAAAATCACATCTTTATTTTAACTAAAGTTTGGTTTCCTTTGTAATTTTAAGTATTTAAAAACAGGATTCTGAAAAGGGGTCTCATAGGTTTCACCAGACTGCCAGAGAAGCCCTGGTTTAGAAGTTCAGAACTCCTGGTATAGAGAGAAAAGAGAAGGTCCAGGAGAAAGACCTGGTAGGGGAGTCAGGATGTAGGACATAGATGATGATCCGGTAAAAGAGACTGAGAAAGAACAGTCAGACAGGAGAGCCAAAAAAGAATAGTATCACAAAAACTCAAGAAGAGAGTAGTTGGCTAAATAAGATGCTACTGGGAAGTCTAGAAGGAGGAGAACTGAGAAAAGGTCATTGAATTTGGCAATTAGGAGGAGATCACTGGTAACTTTGGCTTTGCTTTTTTTGTTTGTTTTGTTTTGTTTTTTTGGTTAGGCATTGGGGTTAAATGACTTGCCCAGGGTCACACAACTTAGTAAGTGTTATGTGTCTGAGGCCAGATTTGAACTCAGGTCCTCCTGACTCCAGGGCTGGTGTTCTATCCACTGTGCCACCTAGCTGCCCCATCACTGGTAACTTTGGAGAGAGACAGAGTGCAAAGGGTGTAGGAATGAGAGAGAAGTGGAGGTCATGAGTGTAGACAGCTTTTTCTAGGAGTTTGACTGTGAAAGGGTGAGGAGATATATAGGAGAAGTGCTAGTAGACAGAGATACAGGAGATTAGAAAGAGGAGGATGGTGGGAAGTGGGGGAGCTGTACCCATAGAAGGGCTGGCCTTGGAAAGAAGGGTCACCTCTTCAAGCACTGGAGTAACAAACAGGGGATGATGGCAAGGGGTTTTATGAGTAGGGAAAAGGGAGCTTTTAGTGATTGGCTTTTATTTTCTCAATAACCAAACACACCTGAAGATACAGGGCAGCTAGGTGGTGCAGCAGATAGAGCACCAGGACTGGAGTAAGGAACACCTGAGTTCAAATCTGGCCTCAGACACTTACTATCTGTGGGACCCTGGGCAAGTCACTTCACCCTGTTTGCCTCAGTTTCCTCAGCTGTAAAATGAGCTGGAGAAGGAAATGGCAAACCACTCTGGTATATTTGCAAAGAAAACCCCAAACGGGGTCACAGATAGGCAGACACGACTGAAAAATGACTGAAAATTTCAGATAACTACTCTATACTTGAATCCCTTAAGGTAACAGAATGGATAGTACTTTGGGAAAAATGAAAGCATCATAAGAATATTAGACATGAACTAGCACTTCAAATTACCTTCAATGTTCAATCAAACAATACTGAATTAATGAAGTTACTATGTTTCTAAGACTCCTGTCTAAAATCCCAAATATTTGTAAATAATTTTGAAGGACCTGCACCAAAGCAATATGTTAGAACAGTGTTATTTGTGGAAGTGCCACCAACAAATGAAAAGAAATGATTTTTTAGCAAGAACCAAGCCAAAATAGCTTTTGCAATCTTTAAAAAAAGAAAAAAGAAAAGATTATAACATGATAAACACCAGTCTGAGAGAGAAGGAAGACTTTCATGATTTTAGCAAGTTTTTTTCTGACAAGTAAGAGCAAGAAAGAGCCTTGTATACCAAAGCTATTTCTAGGCTCTGGCAGACGGCCCATTGAAACAGTGTTTTCTTGCTTGGGTTATAATAAATCCGCTACAAGAAGAGTATTGTATGACAAATGTTTCCTCTGGTTCCTGTCCATTGATTTGTCCTGGCTGAGCACAGAGCTGAGCTCTTCACGCTTCTTTTGTCCTGCCATCACAATTAGCAATTATAGGCATGCCCCATTGAGCTGTAGAGGGCATTCAGCTCCATGGCAACAAGGTTAGACAGGAGGTCTCATCCTTAGCCCATGATAGAGAATCATGTGTAAGGGGTTTACAAGACAGGACTGGGCTGTTCCAAATTGGAGAGACAACCCTATGAGGCTTCAGGCTGGTGGACAATGGGGCCGGAAAGATAAGTTTACATGAGAGGGACCTCTCTAGGAGCTAGACAAGGTATCTGTTGAGATAGAGTAGTGGAGGTTAAAGAACCCAGTGACATCTTGAAAGGTGGGCTGAAGAGGGGGCATTTTTCCTGTTTAGGAATCCCCTGATTTCAGCTTACAACCTAGCTAGAGATGAGAAGGAACAATCCATCACCCCAGCGGAGAGCAATGGAAAATATGCCTAGACGTTACCTTAGAGGTTTCAACTATAGATTAGTTATCTAAAATATCAAGTATGAATTCCAAAAGGGAGATTTGCTCCCCACAGTACTATATCTTCAGGTGCGCTTGTGGTTACTGAGAAGATAGAAGTCAATCACCAAAAGCTCCCTTTTCTCTGCTCTACATCATAAAACCCTTTGCCATCTTCCCATAGTTCTCCAATATCTGAAGAGGAAAGGGAGAAAAGCATCACAGTTGGAGGAGAAGCAGGAAATGAAGGGCTAAGGAGCCAAATCCCCACCACCCCTGTGAGATACTGGAGAAAATCCACTTTGACTTTTCAAAGCCAAGTGAAACCCAGTGACTTGGGAACCCCAAACCTGGACTCAAAACTTGACTCTGACACCCAAGATTTTTCCCTTCTCGCACAAATGGTTAATTGGAGCACAAACCTGACATCTTGTTGTCCTTAATATGGCTGCTGTTAGTGTCAGTGAGCTGTCAATCTTGCCTTGTTCTATCAGGAAATTGCTGGGGGAGCTGGGTGTGTTTGGAGAGGCAGGAAACAACACCGTTAAGGAGCAAGGAGACACTTAGCAAGCTACACAAGGGATGTACAATAAAGATGAGAACTGGGCTGAGTTTGCTGGGCGGGCCTTGACTCTCAGTCAACAGTAAGGGCTGGCTAGAGCAATGTTAGATGGGCTATGTGCCTGTACCTGTCAGCTCCCCCCACCTCCAACAGCACAGCCCTTCCTGCCAAAAAGAAAAACCACTATCTGACCCAACTTTATCCTCTACCGCCTCTTAAAAAAACAAAAAACCAAAGAAAAACAAATGGTTACAGGCAGCATGGCAGAAGAGGCTGACTGGCACACGTGCCTCCTGGGCCCTCTTTCTTCACTACGGAGAAACTGGACATCAACCAGCTCTATTTCATAGTTAGGCCTGCTGACAATGGACAGATTTCCATTCAGTCCATTCATTATGACAAAATTACAACAGAACGCCAAAGTTAATTTTGTCAAAAAGAAATGCTTGTATATCAAGAAATCCTTGACTACCTAGGTAAATTCAGGAAAGCCACTGTTTTGTTAACAGGACCTGGGATTTCATCTGTGTCAGGAGGTCCAGGTAAGGAACTCACTCTCCTAATGTAGGTCTCCCACTGCTCTGCCATTTACAGTTTAACAGTCACTTGGAACAATGGCAGGTGGAGTGACTGGAGTTGTCCAGGGTCACCCAGCCAGGATGTGGCAGAGGTGAAACTGGAAGCCGGGCCCCCCTGACTTCAAGGCTAGCCCTCTACCCACTATGTCACACTGCCTCTCCATAACAAGGACAATCTAAAAATCGATCTTACTTGGAATCGATGACATTAATTTTGAGACCTACAAGATTCTTTAGGGATTAAGTGATGTATAGCAGAAGTGAACATCGGATCAGAGAGCTGGGCTGGAGTCCCAGGTCCTGGGGTGGCCTGGACAAATCATTTCCCCTCTTTGGGCCTTTGGTTTCCTCATGTGCAAAATGACGACAATTTCTGCACTACCTGCCTCACAGGGCTGTTAGGATCAAGTGAGGGTGAATATAAAATGCTTTGTAAATGCAGTAAGTCAAGTTTCAAAGTGAATTGCCCAAAGTATCATAACTAGCTAATGGTAAAAGTCTCCTGGTTTCCCAAGCCAATAAGGTCTTCATTACACCATGCTACTCCTTGCTTCATAATTTAGCAAGGGGCTTCCTGAGGTACATAAAAATGATTCCCCTGAATTAGCATAAACAGCTAAGTATTGACTATACACACAAAAAAATTTTCTTTAAATAAAAATTACTTTGTTTTGTTGTAATGAAATTTTTATAATGAACGGACTGATGGTAATCTGCTGTCTCAGTCTCCAGACCTGGATATGACACAGAGTCGACGTCCAGTTTCTTCACAGTGAATGGACAAGTACAGAAGGAGCACAGTAGACAACCAAGTGACTCACCTAGACCTCATATCCACTGCAAACCATAATCATCAAGAATCATATGCATTCACACCATCAGTCCCTCATATAGGACTAGACTTAGGAACAACTCTTATATCTGAGTAGCTATTGTACCAGAGTGGGAAGGGCATTCACTTCTATAACCAAGACAAGATGTATTCCCATACACTAAATTCTCAGATGAAACTTAGTATATAATTTCCCCAAAGAAACAAAGGGAAACTATAGTATTATTATACAGCTACACCATGGATTTAAGTAAAGTTTCTGTGGAATGGCTGGGAAGCCAACCACCATTTACACTGCTTTTTTCTATGACCATGTGTTCTGAATTCCAACGCTTACCAAACAAAGAACTTTTGGTATGTTACAACCTATTTGCTCATGAGTGAACAAAGGTAAGTCACCCAAGTATACAGATATACATATAACCTAAAGGGGTATGTGGTCAATATGTGAAAGGGTACACATAAGGAGGTGAGGAGAGAATGGGGCCTTCACCATAGAGGATCATTAGGGAGAAGTTACAGATGTGAAAGTTTAGAAAATCCTGAAAAATTGAAGTGGGCAAGGAAAAGGCTTTTTTCTTTTTTCTTTTAAGGAAAACCTCCTGTGAATTTTGCTGTCTCTAGAGGCAGGCACAAAGCCTTGAAGGAAGAAGGAGATCACAGGATGGAAGCAAGGAAGGGCATTGGCCCTCAGATAGCCAGAGGGGCATACTCACCGGGTCGCTGGTGTCAGGAGGCCCTCCAGACATATTCAGGTGCTCAATAATGTCCTTGAGGTCTTGGGCCATGCGCTTCAGTTGAGCATCTATGTTTTCTGCTAATTTATAACTGTAAAATAACAGTGATGTTTCAAGTTAGTTTCACATAGTAGGATATAAGCTGTTAGGGTTTTGCTGCTAAGTGCTAAGCGACCTACACTTTCAGCGTGTCCCCCACATGACCACTGACACCCATTTAAAGCAGAGCACCTGCTGGGCCAGGTGTTCAGGGAATCCCAAAGGCCTGAAACAGGCTGAGGCTAATTTGCCCCCTTAAATGACCCCGACTTCACTAACAACCTGCTCTACAGTCTATGGAGTCCTACCATTTTCCTGGCCAAAAACCATAATATTCTAAGCCACTTCAGTAACAAAGAACTCTTGAATGCTAAAATTATCACGACATTCTAGAGTGTGCAAAAAATGAACAAATCTGTTCCCCAAGTCTGTGATGAGTCAGTAATAGTTCACATTTCTGAAGTACTTAAAGTGTAACATGGTACTTCCCCTACAGCAACCCTGGTAAAGTGAGGGAGTTCTGGAATTATCATCTCCCTTTTACAGACAGGGAAATCAAGGCTCAGAGAAGGGCACTTCCTTGCTTATGGTCACACAGCTAATAAGTATCTGAGATGGAATTTAGAGTCCACTCATTCCACCTCCAACTTTCTTTCTACTTACACATTGCTGCCAATCACAAGCGCCTGAATAAAATCCTTAAGCTTACTAACCAGTTAAAAGAAAAAAAGATTAGTGTGTGTGGAATTTTGAGAACTAAAGGAAATGCAGGCTTTTTCAGATTTAAATGTTTCCAGTGATTCAATTAGATCTATTAATAGCTCATTTGCTGCTTTTCTCTGCCAAGGTATGGAGATCACTTGTGTAGGTCAAAAAAAATTTGTGGTACTGGTTTAACCTAAGATAAATTTGTTTGCACAGAACAACTCAGGGAACATTATCTCCTCAAAGATTTCTTCATGCCCTTGTTAAGACCTCATGGCCAAAGCTGTCTGTTCTCGGGATACTGCACAAGACAAAATTAAATTCCTAGAATACAAAGATTCACAAAGATTAAAACACAAAACCAGAATCAGAACTGTGCTTTTGTCATATTCTTACATTGTTCCATGGGTTAACTGGTAAATGCATCTTTTGATAAGGATAAATCACTAACAACATGATTTGATTTACTTATAATCTAGCTCCCACAGCACATTCACAAACATTCTCCAAACATTTCATCATTTTGCAGAGAAACAAAGTAGGAGAGCTGCACTGGGAAAACACTGGTCAGAGTAAGGTAGAGACAACTCCAACGCACTCCTAAAACATGCCTACCATTTTACTTTGGGGAATCAGACAGGTTTCCTTCAAATTAATTGCTTTGAAATAGCAAATGATTTATCGATGAAGCAAACCGCATGAAGACCAGGTCCAGAAAGAGCCCACATCATGATACTTAGCAAATGAAACCATTTTAGTATTTCTAATCTGGGAACACATTTGACAAGTACAAATGTTTTTTTAACAGTTATGTGTGATATCATCCCTATTTTACATCATGAATAACAATTGTCAGAAGGATCACTTGGTTTCCCAGTATTCTGGAAAAGCCAGTCATTAAGAGAGAGCAAGCAAACGTTCAGAATAGATCTTGCCTCTTTCTGCCAGTCCTTCGGCCCTACCCTCCAAATCTCTGTCTTCCTCTTTTACGAGGCCTTTCCACCGTTGTCATGAGCCACCACTGGCCTGGTTCTGCCAGACCTGACCAAAGCACTTACGTTTTCTCTCGCTCCTCATCTGCATGCTGCAGATAGATAGTTCCACTCTGCTCCTTCACGGCCTCCTCCAGAGGGGCCAGCAGGTCCTCTAGTTCTTTCTGCTGTGACAGGATGAAGTCTAATTCTTGGTCCAACCTAAAGAAATAACTCCAGTAAGCTGGGGAGCTGAAAAGCGGTGAGAAGTGACCAAACAGAGCAGAGTACCTCAAGAAAGCAAATTCCCTGATCTCCTAACGTGGGGAACTGCCCAAAATTCCTACCTTTTCTGATCCAGCTTCACTTTCTCTACTTCTCTGTGTAAAGAAGTAATCTAAGAAACAAATAAGAATGTGTAACAATGAAAATAATGCTGCTCCCAAACCAAAACAAATGAGAAGTACAACCTCTTTAAGAGTCAGTTCACCTGTGATTGGCAGACTAAGTTATCTGTAATAGCCATCATAGGAGGAGAATTCTTTCTTTGGTTCATCATAGTGGATGAAGACTACATTCTTACCTTCTCACCATTCTCAATTAACGTCCGGTCCCAAGCATTCACCTGGGTGGCCTGCTGAAGGAAGTGTTTCTCTTGGTCTTCCAGTTCGAGACTCCATTTATTGATCAAACTTTCCAGCTGAGCGTAAGTCATCACAGGGGTTATACTGAAAAAGACAAGGATACAGCCCTATGGTAGGTACAATGATTCTTAGAATAAGAAAAAAAGGAGGCAGCTAGGTGGCGCAGTGGATAGAGCTCCAGCCTTAAGAGCTGGGAGGACCTGAGTTCAAATCCGACCTCAGACACTTGACACTTACTAGCTGTGTGACCCTGGGCAAGTCATTTAACCCTGATTGCCTCACCAAAAAGCAAAAACAAAAACATAAAAACAAACAAAAATCCCAACAATAATAAAGAGATGGGGAAATGCCAAAGGTCCCAATCATTCCTGGTATTTGTGGGCCCAGAACGAACGACCTTTTCTGTTTTACCTGCCATCCCATCTCTACCATCTTTCTAGGTAAGTCTGTCTATGCCTCTCTCAAAAAGTTAATATAGCACCATCAGTCAAAAAATTTAAACAGTGGCAACTACTGTTGCCAGAAAGAGACCCAAAAAAAAAAAAGAGGAGGCTAAAGCCCCATTTTAAGGGAGAAGGGTGTGTGTAGCAGAAAATGGCTAGAGAAAGGGGGACCTGTAGATCAGGGCCAATAGTAGTACTGGCCTCCAGGGAAAGAGCTACACCAAGTAGGCCTGGAAACAGACATCATTCTTTTTTATAGCCATTTCTCTGGCTTCTTCAAAGCCAGATGTGTGAGCATGGAGGCAGGGATCAGACACTAATAAATAGAGATGACAGATTCAATCAGGGAACAAGAGGCACTGTCCAACAGCAATATTGTAAGGATGATCAACTGGGAAAATGTGAAAGACTTAGCAACTCTGATCAAAACAATGATCCAAGACAATTCTAAAAGACCCATGACGAAAAATGTATCCATCTCCAGAGAGAGAACTGATGAACTGAGTGTAGACTGAAGTATACTTTTCTTACTTTTTAAAATTATTTTTAATTAGTTTTCTTTTGCAAGAAGGCTAATATGGAAAATTTTACTCATTCTTCCTCTACCTTCCTCCTTTTTCTAATGCATCCCTCTTTCTCACCCCTTCTTTTTTTTTTTTGGTAAGGCAATTGGGGTTAAGTGACTTGCCCAGAGTCACACAGCTAGTGAGTGTTTATGGGTCTGAGGCCAGATTTGAACTCAGGTCCTCCTGACTCCAGGGCCAGTATTCTATCCACTGCGCCACTTAGCTGCCCCATCACCCCTTCATTTTTTAAAATATCATCCCATGAAGCAAACTCACACCTGTGCCCTCTGTCTATATATACACCTAACTGCCCTAATAATAAGAAAGTTCTTATAAGTTACATGTATCATCTTCCCATGTAGGAATGTAAACAGTTTAACCTTATTGAAACCTTTATGGTTTCTCTCTCCTGTTTATCTTTTTATGCTTCTCTTGAGTCTTGTATTTGAAAGTCAAATTTTCTATTTAGCTCTGGTCTTTTCATCACGAATGCTTGAAAGTCCTCTATTTCACTGAATATCCATTTCCCTCCTGAAGGATTATACTCAGTTTTGCTGGGTAGGTGACTCTTGGCTGTAATCCTAGCTCCTTTGCCCTCTGGAATATCATATTCCAAGTCCTATAATCCTATAATGTGGAAGCTGCTAAATTCTGAGTTATCCTGACTGTGGCTCTACAATATTTGAATTCTTTCTGGCTACCTGAAATATTTTCTCCTTGATATGGGAGCTCTGGAATTTGGCTATCATATTCTTGGGAGTTTTCATTTTGGGAACTCTTTCAGGAAGTGATTGGTAGATTCTTTCAATTTTTCTTTTACCCTCTGGATCTAAGGTATCAGGGCAGTTTTCCTTGATAATTTCTTGAAATACCACGTCTAGGCTTTTTTTTTTATCATGGCTTTCAGGTGGCCCAATGATTCTAAAATTTATTTTATATTTTCTTCTATTTTCTTCATTCTTTTGACTTTGACTGTTTCTTGATGTGTCATGGAGTCATTAACTTCCACTTGCCCAATTCTAATTTTGAGGTATTTTCCTCAGTTAGCTTTTATGTCTCTTTTTCCATTTGGTCAATACTGCTTTTTAAGGAATTCTTTTTCTTTAAATTTTTTTTTTTTTTGCTTTTTGGCGAGGCAATAGGGGTTAAGTGACTTGCCCAGGGTCACACAGCTAGTAAGTATTAAGCGTCTGAGGCTGGATTTGAACTCAGGTCCTCCTGACTCCAAGGCCAGTGCTCTATTCACTGTGCCACCTAGCTGCCCCTTTCTTTTTCTTTAAAAAAATTTTTTAAAATGTCTTTTAATTTTATTTTATTTTGGTTAGGCAATGGGGTTAAGTGACTTGCCCAGGGTCACATAGCTAGTAAGTGTTATGTGTCTGAGGCTGGATTTGAACCCAGGCCTTCCTAAATCCAGGGCTGGTGCTCTATCCACTGCGCCACCTAGCTGCCCCAAGGAATTCTTTTCTTCAGTGAATTTTTGTGCCCTTTTTACCATTTGGCCAATTCTGTTTTTCAAGGTGTTATTTTCTTCAGTAATTTTTTTTGTGATCCTTTTTGCTAATTATCCTCATAATTATCTTGCATCATTCTCATTTGTTTTCAAAATTTTTCCTCTACGACTCTTATCTCTTAGACTCTTCTAAGAAGTCTTCTTGGGCTTGTGTCCAATTAGCATTTTTTTTTGAGGCTGTGTTTGTAGCTGTTTTCACATTGTTGTCTTCTCTTCTGATTTTGTCTTGGTCTTCCCTGCCATTGTAGTAGCTTTTTATGGTCAAGTTTTTTTTTTTGTTGTTGTTTGCTCATTTTTCCAGCCTGCATCTTGACTTTGAACTTTATGTTAATGTTGGTCTCTGCTCACCTGGGGGTGGGGAAGCACTTTCTCAAGCTTTAGGCTTTTTGGTGCTACTGTTTTCAGAGCTAGCCCCAGGGATCTGCAAGTTTTTGGTGCTTCCAAGGTGGTGGGAGCTGGGGAGAGGTGTGATCACTGCTCTCCCAGTCTGTGCTCTGGTCTTTATCCTGCAGCTACAAGTGTTAATGCTCCTCTTGGCCCTGGGACCACGACCAGGTCCCCTGCTCTCCTGCAGCCACAAATGCTAGAGCTCCTCTCGACCTTGGAACTGTAACCAAGACCCCTGATCCCTTGTGAACAATCACAAGCACTCCTCTCTGCCCTAGAACTGTAACCCAGAATTGCTATAGGTAACAGAGTCGCCAATCAGTGCCAGGTGTACCCAGTGTCGGCAATGGGTCCCCTGTAATTTCTTTCTGACCAGCTGTCCAACCCTCTTACTGTCTCTGGACTGAGAACTCCCAAAGCTGCTTCTGCCATCATCTGGTGTTGTCACTGTGCGCCTGCACTCTGGACAGGCCTCCACCCTAGCATCTAGACCTCTCTTGCTGACTTCCTAGGTTTCCTTAGCCTAGAAAAATGTCACACCCTAACATTTTGATGGCTCTGCTGCTCCAAAATTTGATTTGAGGTGTTATTTTCAAGTTGTTTGGAGGGGAATGTTGAGGGCTCAGCTGAAGACAGCATAAGTCTTTTAACTCTAGTTTCTTCAATTTGCTCAGTTCCACATGTTCCGTTTTGTTTATCTTTCCATTAAGAGTTATCCAAAACAGAGACACTGAAGTCTCCTGTCACTATTGTATTTGTATCTTCCTGTAGCTCAGATGAGGTTTCCTTTATGAATGTGGACGCTAAGGCATTTGGAATATATAAGTTTATTATGGCTATTGGTTTGTTGTTTATGGTTCCTTTTAGCACAATACAGTTTCCTTTTTTATCCCCTTTTTAACTTTTGAATGTTTTTACTTTGTCTGATAGCAAGACAGCAATTTGGGCTTTTTTGGATTTACCTGATGTATAGTAAATTTTTCTTCTATCCCCTTTATTTTGTGCTATGTCTTTGATTTTTAAATGTTTCATATAAGCAACAGATTGTAGGGTTTTGTTTTCTTACTCAATCTGTTACTCTTACATTTTACTGGATTGTTTAATTCATTTACATTTAAAGCTGAGAGCTAGATTTATATTTTCCTTTGTCTGTCTCTAATATTTTTTAAAGTTATGATTTTTTTTCCCTTCTTCTGCTATAAACACATTATGTTTCTTCAGTTACTTTACTTTAATCTTTTTTTTTAAAGTGGTCCTGTTCCCACTGGCTCTCTCTGCCTCACCCTGATTTCCCTATTCTTGTTTACCACTTTCCCTTTAGGGTTTTGCTTATTAGTTTCTTTTTCTTTCTTGCTTTTATCAGATTATTTATAATTATTATCCTCCTTTTTTCCTCTTAAGTTAGCAGATTTCCCTCTTCCTCTCCTCCCCTTCAACTAGTCCTGTTCATTAGTTTTTAAATTTTATTTTTTTGTGCTCCTTTCCAAAAAGGATTTCTCTCACTCTCTTCATTATCCACCCTCTCTTTCTGTCTAACTCTAGCCTCTCATTCTTTAATTCATGACCCCTACAACTATCTGGTCTCTCTTTTTTCTCTGCATTTTACACACAATCAAAGCTTTCAAGATATCCATTCTAGGCTCTTCTTCCTTCCAGGTGGTTTCTGCTACTGCCTTGTAGAGCTTGCCTCATGAATTCCCATTCTCCATTGTGCCTCACTCCCAGAACAATGCCAATGACTGCAGGTGTCAGAGAGGACACTGGCCCATAGTAATGCCCTTCCTCCACCAAGTCCCTGATGATGCAGTGTACTACTGATCTATACCCTCTGTTAATTATCTTTCTTTTACCATCTGCTTCAAAATCTCCTCCTTGGCTCCATGCTCTCCCACTCCTCTATGTGCCAGCTGCCCCCAACTGCTTCCCCATTCCCAGGCAGGATGAATATTTTTCAAGCACCAAATTCTCCAGGCCACACCCAGTCCCAGACTTAGTGTGGACAACTAACTGGCTCTAGTCTACTGCAGCACAGAACTCCTGAGCTTAAGTGATTCATTAACTTCCTTCCTGGTAATAGGGATTATAGATATGTACAACCATGCCCAGAGTCTATGCCCTTTGACCCAGCAATGACACTTCTGGACATATACCCCCAAGGAAGTCAAAGACAGAAACAAAGATCTAATATATGCCAAAATATTCATTATAGCTCTCTTTGTGGTAGCAAAAAAACTAGAAACAAACTGAGTACTCATTATTTGAAGAATGACAGAAAAAATGATGAGATGTAATCTAATAACAATTAGGAGGTAAGAGAAAGGTGGGAAGATTTGTAAGAACTGATGAAAAGCAGAATAAGCAAATGAGCTAAAACAAGGTAAATGAACAGATCACTAAAATGAAATTGAGCTTTGAGTAATAAAAAAAATCAACAAAGGCCATGAAAGAGAAACAGTGAAACATACTCCCTTATGGCAAAGAGGTAGGGGAGCACTAGGACAGACTACTGCATATATTGTTAGAAATGGGACTGTGAATTAGGCATTTTTACTTAATTGCTTTTCTTTGTCATAAGAGAAAGTTCAATCTGGAGGAGGGAGGTGCAAAATGACTGATTTAAAGACAAAAGGCATTAGTAAAATGTATTTTTTTTACAGGGTAGGCTGCCTTTTTGTCCACGTTGCTGCGCCTGGCAGCTTTCCAGTCTATCTGGCCTCTGACACTTTGTAGCTGTGTCACTGGCAAGTCATTTAATCCACCTGAGCTTCAGTTTCCATGTGTGTAAAATGGGTATCATAGGATTAAAGATTTAGAACTGGAAGAGGCCAGAGATGTCTAATTCAATTTCTTGAGTTGTCTTTCCTCTTTCCTTTGCTGAGTAGTCTCTGGTTCCCTTCAGTATGCTCAGAAGATGAGTGAGCAAAGACAAATGAGTTTAAGTGTCCCTGTGAACTAGGAGGCACTGACATGGATGGCGGGCAGCCAGATAGGGAGGAGGGATATGGATTCTTACTTGATAGGAACCTTTTCAGAAGAGAAGACAGAGGTTCACTGGAATAGTGTGACTAGGAAGAGTCCCTACAGCACAAAAGACTAGTTAGCCTTGGCCTTGCTCCTTGCTGGAGCAGTATTGGAAATCATTAGAATCACACAGGTCTTCACTGGGGTTGGACAAAATGGAGCCTACCAGATTTGGGATGGGGGAATCTCTTGATCCATTATGGGCCTGTAAATAAAAACATTTTTGGTTTTTCTCTGATGCTCCATGAACCCGAATGCTTGTAAGGGGGAGTTTACAAAGGATAACATGGGGAAGAACCATACAGTGAAGTTCTTGGGAGTCTACCTGGGTGAGCACAAATAAATGAGAAAAGTGTTACCTACCTCTAAGGGGTTGTTGTGAAGATAAAAATAAAATAACATATACGAAACACTGGTGTGTGTGGGGGGGAGAGCTAGGTGGTGAAGTGGATAGAGCACTCACTGGTCCTGGATTCAGGAGGACCTGAGTTCAAATCCGGCCTCAGACACATAACACTCAGTAGCTGTGTGACTCTGGGCAAGTCATTTAACCCCAACTGCCTCACCAAAACCAAAACAACAACAACAACAACAACAAAGGAAAACATTAGGGGGGATGAGGGGGTGGTAAAGGGATGGGAATAAGTATTTATACAGTGCCTACAACATGGCAGACAGTCGTGCTTTTACAAATATCTCATTTGATCCTTACAACAATCCTGTGAGGTGGATGCTGCTATTATCTCCATTTTACAGCTGAGGAAACTAAGGCAAATAGAGGTCAAATGATTTCCCCAAGGTCACATAGGTCACCAGGCTAGATGTGAACTCCGGTCTTTCTGACTCCAGGCCCAGTGCTCTTTCCACTGTGCCACCTAGTTGCTTTTACAAACTACAAATATTATCTCTAATTTTTCCTGCATATATTTTGCTTGTACATAGTTATGTTCATGTTGTCTCCCCAGCTAGACTGTGAGCTCCTTGAAAGCAGGGAGAGTCTTTGCCTTTCTTTGCACTGCCAGGGCCTGCCACATAGTTTAATGTTTATTGGCTGATCAACTTAGATCCACTATTATTACTAACTTGCACTAGGACTGTCAGAAAAACATAATAAAAACTTTATTAGACAGGGCATACAGGGTTTAAACCTGTAGGATAGGATTAGGTGGAGAAGGAAACACTACTGGAACTGCCATGAATTTCAGTTCCTCACTTTCCTTTTCACTGGCAATATTTTTGGTACTATCCTTTTCCAGCTGCTGAACCTGGAATCAGAGTACTTCTCCCACCCATCTCAGCTGAATTCTGGTACTCCTGAACTTAAACAAACATGGTGCCATGCGACCATGTTCTACAATTTGGCTTAGCAGCCTGATGCCAATCTCTTTGGTTCCTAATTTTGCTGCTGAGATCCTGACTTCTATGCTTCTGACCCTATGGTAATTTGATCTCAGCCCCTGTAAGCCTCTGCTTGTTGATTTGACCTCAGCACAATAATGGCTAAACCATATACTGTGTTTTGTTGACCTAATAGCTTGTAATTAGGACATCAGTTACATTAATAAACCACTAAGCTAGAAACTGAACAGTTATTTTGCTGATTGTTATTAGAAAACCATGAGTCCCAGAAGACATTTCAATCTTTAGCTTGATGGGATAGGACCACCTCCCATCATTCAAGGATACTGGAACAAACATTTACGGACTTAGAAAGGGTTCAAATGATGTAAAAATTTTAAAAACAAAAATCAGTTAAAAGTAGTAGATTTACTTTAGATATATTGGCATACTCATCAAAAGGTTGCTAGAAGCACTCACTTTTTTTGGGGTGGGGTGGGGTGGGTAGTGTTATTTTTTGCAACAGTGGAATACATGATAACCAAACCCCACCATGAAGAAAGCCTAGCCTCAGGAATCAAAAACCTGGGCTCAAGTCCTAGCTCTGACACTAGCAAACTAAGACCTTAGACAAATCACCCTCCAGGACTCAGTTCCCTCCTTCATAAAACCATGGGGTAAGACTAGATGGTCACTAAGGTTCCTTCCAGTTTATGAGTCTATAGACTGTTTTCTCCCAGTATTTAACAAAGACAAATAAATCAATGTTCCTGTCACTGGGTTACAGAAACCTAGTTTCCAAATGGATCTGGGTTCAGAAGGTGTTCCTCTGTATCTGAAACGCCTCTGAAAGATATCCAGGAGAGCTACGTGCGCCCAAGAGGTCACCTGACTGTGTGTGCCTTATGAATGAAGTGAAATTCAGGAGAACTTAGAAATCAGGCCTCACCTTGGAACTGTGGTAGCTGAGGGCAAAGTGGCACAGGTGGAAGGGATGATGCCAGTGCCAGGTGTACTCAGCGGCTTTAGATTCAAGGCAAAGCCTGTGGTGGTAGTTGAAGTCGTAGCTGAAACAAAAGTACATGAGGTTAAAGTGGAGAATTAAGAGCCAATTATTTCACTTAGAAATTTCAAAAGCAAGGAAGGCTGGGGCTTGGATGTTGATGTTGTTATGACAGAAATAGAGGGGAGAGGGCCAGTGGAGGACCTGCAGAGCCACACAGCATTCCCTTCTCAGTGCTGGCCCACAACACCATTTCTGGCCAGGAGCTGAGGAGCCTTGAGTTAAATGATCCCTGGGGTTTCTAATGCTGGTTTAGTGCTGCAGCCAGAATCTCAGGTTTCAAATGCCCCCGTCACATTTCTCATCAGAAAAAATCCCACCAGACATCTATTAAACTAAACAATGAATTTGTTAAGAAATATCTACTAGAAATATTCCAAGATGATATCTGTAACTCATGAGACCTTTGTCAGTATTAGGGTAGTTGGAGGGAAAAATTATATGTATATAATTATAGATAGATAGATAGATAGAGGGCACAGGGTGAGTGGAAGATGAAGGGGTGATATCTGGAGAATAAAATTAAGGGGTGAGAGAGGACTATACTGGGAGAAGGAGAAAGGGAGAGGTAGAATGGGGTAAATTAATCTCACATAAAACAGACAAGAAAAGGCTTTTACAGTGAAGGGGAAACAGGGGAAGGTGAGAGGGAATGAGTGCATCTTATTCTCATGAGATTTGGCTTAAGGAGGGAATAGCATACACACTCAATTGGGTATGGAAATCTATCTTATCCTACAGGAAAATGGGGGGAAAGGGGACAAGAGAGCAGGGGGATGATAGAGAGGAGGGAAGACTGGGGAAGGGGGTAATCAGAAGCAAACACTTCTAAGGAGGGACAGGGTCAAAAGGGAAAACAGAATAAATGAGGGGTGGGATAGGGTTATAGGAAATATATTTAGTTTTTCACAACATGACCACTATGGAAGTGTTTTGCATGACTACACATGTATAACTAGTATCAAGCTGCTTGCCTTCTCAATGAGGGTAGGTAGGGAGAGAGGAAGAGAGAAAATTTGGAACCCAAAGTTTTAAAAACAAATGTTAAAAAAACTTTTCACATGCAACTGGGAAATAAGATATACAGGCAATGGGGTATAGAAATCTATCCTGCCCTACAGGAAAATTGAAGGGGATGGGGGGAGGGGAGATAGAAGGGAGGGTAGATTAGGGGAAGGGGTATTCAGAATGCATGCTATCTTGAGGTGGTGGGAGGGACGAGATTGGGGAGAAAATGTGGAACCCAAAATCTTGTGGAAGTGAATGTTGAAAACTAAAAATAAAATTAGAGAATTAAAAAAAAAAAAGGAATATTCCAAATAGTTGCCACTCGACCTAGGAGTGGGTTTTACACATTCTGACGCTGAAATCAATCAACAAACAAGAATTTATGAAGAGCCAGTATTGTTCTAGGGATACAGATAACCAAAGTAAGACAGTTACTACTCTCAAAAAACTTATATTCTTTTGAGGAGATACAAAGGACTCACAATAAGTAAACACAGACTATATACAAAATAAACAGTGATGGGACAGCACATTAACAAATGGGTGAATCAGGAAATCTGAATTCTAAGCATGGGTGGGGGGCAAGCTTGTACAAAGGTGTGGAGGTGGGAAATGGAAGGTCATCTATAAGAAAGCTGGCAAATTATGGTAACCCTCCATTATTCTTCTTCCTCCTTATATTCAAGGAATGGATTTTTAGTCATTCTGCCTACCTTTTGACCACATCACTACTGAGTGATAGCTTTTCTTCTAACACACAAAAGACAGATTAATGGAATACTACAATAAAAGGGCAAAAGTACCCCAAATAAGACTATCAATAGAAGAGAGAGGAAAGGGGCAGCTAGGTGGAGCAGTAGATAGAGCACTGGCACTGAAGTCAGGAGGACCTCAGTTCAAATCTGTCCTCAGGCTAAACACTTGACACTTACTAGCTATGTGACCCTGGGCAAGTCACTTAACCCCAATTGCCTAAAACAAACTAAACTAAAGTAAAATAAAATAAAATAGAAGAGAGAGGGAAACAACTCCTTTATCAAGTGACTTCTGTGGGTTTGGATGCATGGGACTTTGGGAGATGTCCTTGATAATATCAAGCTCCTGTCATTCACTCATCCTGTTTCACAGCTTTGCAAGTCAGGAAGCCTAAAAAACTTCTGCCTGCCAAATGTGCATGGCAAATCCCAGTAACTCAGCACCCTTCACTCACTTATTTCTAGCCATTAGGCCCCATCTTCAGTCCCACATATAGCCAATTGTCTGTTCTGTCACTTGGTCAGACTTCCAATTTCCCACAAATCTAGGTCTGCTGGTGAATCAGTCACCCCCAATCCAGGAACCAAGAGTCATAGGCTGCTGCTGTTTCAGCTTTCTTCTCTAGGAAGGGTAGGGAAGGATAATGTCCAACATAATGTCCATTCCAGGGCATGCCTCAGAGGCAAGGGCTGGGGATGGCAATGTGCTCCGCCTCACGAACTGAGTGGCAAAGGGTCGGGCTGGCCCAGGAGGAGGGTATATCCCGAAGATCCAAACTCACAAAAATGACAGCCAAAGGCTATGTCAAAATTGGAGAGAGGATTTACTGAAGTAAAGCAATAGCTTGGGGGGAGGGGCCCTCAGGAACATAACACTTAAAACTTGAGCTTCAGACATAACCCAGGCCAACAGATAAGGAGACTTTCACCTCATTGTTCTTGGAAGTACGACAAAAGCAAATAGCAAGTCATTAAATTCTGCTCATCTCAATCCCTAGAGGTCAGTTAGCTCCCACTTGGTTCTGGCCCATCTCTGAATAAGTACTCAAGAAACCAGATGTGGAACAGGACCAACTCAGGGGATGGACCCTCTCATCCAGGGTGGGCTTAAGAACAGCTGCCTCTTCTCAGATACCCTCCAAACTGAAAGACTAGGAGTGTCCTTCAGGACTGGGGGCTTTGTTGTCATGTCTGTCTTTTTATGGCAGGCACTCCACAATCTTGGAATTAGGCTAATAATGACCAGTACTCAGTATCTGAGGGTACACTGGGGAAGACTACACCAAGGTGGTGAGCCCCCAGGAGCAAAGGGCCCACCAGGGTACCTAAAGGAGGCATCAACCAGCCTAGGTCAGCTCCCATGCCACTCAGTGTGGAACTGGCCCTCAAGTAGCCTGTATACTTCCAGTGGGGAGAAAGGCAGAAAAGGGAGAGGGAGAGAGAAAATAAGCAGGCACAAGGCAACTAGATCCAGCCAGAGTTCATACTGGCTACGAATGCATTCTTCTATCCCCTTCTTCTTTTATACACTTATCGGTCCAACAAAAGAAAGTTTTTCCTATATTTTTTCAGGGCTGCAGGGAAAGCTAAGGGTCTAATTTGACTCACTGGAGAACTCTGTGCAATAGCAGAACTACATATGAACCATATTAGGTCTAAACTCCTCTGCCTTGTTTTCAAGACTCTTCTTTCCATGTGGTATGGGTGAGATCAAAGTTTGGATAAGAAAAGGACCCAGCTTTCATGGAGGGGGGACAGCACACAAACAGCTATCTCTAAGACATAGCAATTAAGTGTGCTAGAGAAGTGTAAGCCAAAGAGGGACCTGAGGCTTGAGGGGAATGGTTATTATTACCATGGGGCAGAGATCAGGGAAAGACAGGAAGGAAGTTGTCTGTGGCATGAGAAATGCACTTTGAGGGATGGTTTAATGACAGAGACATGTTATACTTTTGCTGTATCCTTCACAGTACCTAGCTTAAATACCTGGTACATGGCAGGTTCCATGTAAAATACCTGGCCGACTGAAAAAAGAATAAAAATACATTGAGTAAGCCAAAAGCCCAAATGGACTGTGGTAGAAGGCCAACCTCCCACTCTCATCTCCTAAGGCACTAGGTAGGGAAGAGCTGGGGTGGAGGAAAGTGCCAGCATCATTTCTATGCTGTAAAAGAAGGAGCCAGGGGGCATTTCTATACTGCTGAAAAACAGAGAAATCCACCTCTGGTCTTGTATTTTCACGAAGGTGGAGACTGACTGCAAAGCAATAATACATTTTTGGGAGACACAATGTTCCCGAATCGAAGTTTTCAAAGCTCAACTTTAAGGAAAAACAGCTCGTGGGCTCAAAATCAGGCTCCATTGTGCCTTCCTGCATCTTCTAACAAGTGTACCACACCAAAGACAACATAGGTGTAGGAGGCATGATTGAAAATGATGAGTAAGGCTGTGCTCACCACATTCCAGAATGCGAGGCCCAGAGGGCCCCCCTGCAAGTTGAAAATGGAATGGAGGGATATATATTATCATGTCGCATAGCGGGAAGAAAATTGAGGGAACTGCTTGCCCTGAGAAGTAATAAGCTCAAAACCAAAAATGCTCAGAAAGTTTAAGAAGGGTTTAGAGAAATTCATGGGTGACAAATCCATTATAAGGTATTAAGAGTTTCTAGAGAGGGCCCTAGGGTTTATCCCTGACCTTTTCAAGCCAATATCACAGAAAACAACCCAGCACCCACAAAGCATCCCTTAGGGCACTGTCAGAGATACTTGGCTCAATAGACCATAGGTCTGCCCCCCTACTGCGTTATCTGTTCTATTATTTCCCTAATTTGAGGAGAAAAGGCAGCATGGTGTAGTAGAAAGAACACTGGACTGGACAACAACCCGGGAGACGTAAGGGCTCCTAACCCAGACTCCACCATTACCTGGCTGTCTACAACTTTGGGGGAAGCCATAACCTTTTGGGACCTTAGCTCCCTCTCTGATGGTCCCCCATCTGAGGAGGTGGGACTTTATGATCTCTAGGGTCCCTTCTATCTCTAAAGTTTTATGATCCCTCACTTTCCTCTGAAAACATTCAACTCATTCTCTGGGAACAGGAAAGACTTATCTAGTCCTTAATCAATCCTAGGAACATCATCTTCATGATATATCTAATTCCCATCAGCCTCAGTGTAAAATAAAAGCTTGCCTTTTAAATTCTCAACTGTTCTACATATAGCACTGATAATTACCCTTGTCTCTTCTAACCTTTCATACGATTCTGACATAGGAGATAATAGTTAAATCTCAATGCTGTTTTGACTGACAAGAAGTAGAGCAGTAAAACTGAAAAGGAAGGCCAGATGAACCCTGGACTACACCAAGGTGCAAGTAGCAAGGCTCAGACATTTTACAGAATCAACTCTTTTTTTTTTTAAAAAGTCATTCTTGACTATCCCTAATGGAGAAAGGCAGTAGGCTACACAATCCAAAACAGCCAAAAACTAAAAATACCCTTCCATTTGCCTTTGCAACATGTTTCTGAATTTACATTTAAACAGATAGATGATCTGATGTCCTCAGATGTTCTGGAACTTCACAATCCAAACAAAAGATGTAAAAACGTACTGTCCAGCTTTTCTTCCCAGGCACCCTCTTCTTGGTCAACATCTATTATTTTCCTGGGCTTGATTTTGCATTGGGAATGCTATAGTCTCTCTGATCCCCGGCCAGGGATCCCCCAGTAGCAAAGCAGGGCTCTCTTATGAATGATGCCGATCAGCCCTGGGGTCAGGAAGTATTCAAGGGTTAATGCCTCCATGCATCAGAGGCATTAACATTTGTTTAAAAGGCTCTCTACCCTGTAACATATTATATGCTAATAAAATAAGAACAGAAAAATCTGAAAGCAAGTTTTGCTCAGTATAGCGCTGATTGTAGCCAAGTCAAAAAGTAAAAATTAATAGCATGACAGAAGAGGAAAACTGGGGAATGAAAGATGGTAGCCTTAGCTCTGAGCTGCATTCCTCATATCTGGCTGTCTCAGTGGTATTCTACCAATGCCCTGCCATTGAGAAATACCTGGCCCCTCACACTAGCATGGCCCTTTAAGAGACACAATCTCACTTGATCTTCAGAAGAATCTCAACAATTTTACAGATTTCTCAGAAAGTCTTAAGTGGTTTTGCCCAAGGTCACATAAACTAATAAACAGAAGAGCCAGGACTAAAAAAACTAAAAATAAAAACCCAAAAAAACAAACCCAGACATTCTAATGCCTACTCTGGTGCCACAGTCCCAGCCACCTCTGAAAAAGCAGCTCTTCTTTTGCAAGCATTTGTCTTGGAGTCTAAAAGGAGGCGCCAGCTCCAATCCAGCCTCTGACATGTACTAGCTTTCCAACCCTGGGTAAATCCTTTCATCAGCTGTAAAATGGCAAGAATACCTGGGCTGTGATAGGCTCCATGGAGATAAAGCTCACAGAGCCCCTAGCACTCTCCATGGTGCTATGAACACTAGCCCTTCATCAGTACCCTGGCACTCTTTTCCACTTTGGGGTCTGACTTCTCTTGCTGCAATGGCAGCCTCAGCAGCCTCCAATGAGTCCCCCCTTGCAGCCCAGCATCCCAAACTTACTAGTGGTAGTAGATGTGGCTGCACTTGTCGAGCTAGGAAGTTTTAATCCAAATCCCAATACTCCAAGACCAGGTGCTGCAACTGAAGTGGATGGGGCTCCAACTGTTGGGAACAATTACATATCACCCCTTTAATACAGTATAGAAAACGGAACTTATTTAGCTACTAAGGAACATTTGAAAACCCTTTTGTTGATACTTTGATCATCCTGATCAAGGGTTTTTCTAGCATATTATTATTTCATTTTATAAAGAAAGTAAAGCCTAGGGAGGGAAAGTGAGTTGCCAGATGTCACATACCAAGTCATCAATAAAATGGAATCAGTCCAAGAGTTCTAAATTTTAATCTGTGAGCTTTACAATATACTGTTCATTCACAAAATATGCCCCAGTTGAAAAGGAATGTGAATCAACAGAATTTTTCTAGATCACAGTCATGTCACAAAACTAGAGTCTCTTCCTGCAGCAAAGTGCTAAGAGCATTCTACCAGCTAGCAGCCCTTTTCAAATGCTCACCCATGCCTACTTCACTGCAGAGAGGAGGCCAAATGTCTCCATTTTGATTCCAGCTACAAGAACAATGTCACTTCTCAGCACCTCACAACCCTAGGATGGGGATTGGGGGGGGGGAGGAGAGCACTTTACAGCATTGTAATAGAACCAAGATGGTGCTAGAACAAGGTTGCAGTGAGATGTCACAGAACCATTGCAGCAAAGCAGACCCATGGTCAAAAGGAAAACTGGACACCTGCTGCTTGCAGCAACTTTTCCAAGACGAGAGGGATGGCAAAGTGAAGGGCACATTGGCCTCTAGAAGATGACCACTCCCTTAAGAAGAGAAGGTGCTGAATGAAACCTTCAATGACAGTTTGGACCTCAATTTTTTTAACCATATACAGAGCAACAAGATCACTCAGGCCCTAGCACATTATACAGAGCAAAGTTCAATTCACTTAGAGATTTATATCTGGTCTCTGCCCCTTATTCTTTCACCATGTTCACACAGGCAGTGAGACTTCTTCCTTTTGACACACCTGGGAAAATACTCAATTATTTTTGCCAGGTCTAAGAGTTGCTTCAAAGTAGTGCACATTGAGACACTGTATACGCTTTAATAATCATTTATATCCCAAATTCAGAACAAAAGCTATATTAGTAAGTCTGATCAAGCCGCTAATGAGAATAGCAGACGACAGCCAGATCAAGTATAATGATGAATTTGGGGGCAGCAGAGACCTTTAGTTTTATTAACAAGTTCCCAGTTAAGAGCCCAGATTTAATGGATGAGATTGCCTTTAAAACTGGCGCCTTACCTGAGAGGGTTGGGGCAGAAGAGACTGGAAGGGAAGAATTTGCTATGGAAGCAAACAATGTAGGCCCAGAAGTGGTGGTAGGAGCAGAAGTTGCTGCTGCTGGAAAAGAATTGGCATTACATGGATTCAAACAAAAAACAAATCCAATCACATCTCCTGAAATCTAAAAGCTACATGGAGTAAAGGAATAATAGAATAGAACAGAATGAATAAATCACAGAATAAAACGATAATACAAAAAGAAGAGGTAACCTTTTACACAGCATTTTACAAAGCAGTCTCATACCCATTATTTCATTATTTCGTATATAGGAAACAAGGTAGAGATTAACTTCATTTTACAGATGAGAAAATTGAGGCTCAGAGAGGTTAAAAGACTTATACAGGCACAAACAGCTAATCACTTGCTGATAAACAAGCCTAGAAAGCAGAGGAGGATCACAACTCAGGCCTGACTCTTCCATAAACTTTCTCTAGAGGATCTACCCAATATGTGAGAGGCTCTCTTCTCCTTTCATTCTCTTTAATATCTCAGCAGAACAACAGACCACTTGCACCATAAATTCTGTCTCATTCTTGCTACATGACCAGCCTTTCCCAGGCATACAGATTCAATGACATCTTTTACACCAGAGGCATCAAACCCCAAAAACAAAGCTCCAAAAACTCTCAAGTGCAGGGTGACTCAGATTGAAATGTCAGTGGCAAATGTTCAACAACATAAATGATGTTCATTTGTGGTTTTCTAAGCCAATGTGAAGGTGGCAGGGATCCACTTCCATTTGAGTTTGAGGCCACTGTCTTATAGCACATATCACACAGATGTGACCTACTTATGCCCATCATGTATCTTTCCATTGGACATCCCTGTAATCCTGATTTTCCCATGCTCTCATGCTGATGATTTACCAAGAAGGAGACCACAGATTTATACTCAAAGTGTTACTGGAAGAATTCGGGTGAGATGTTGAGGGAACAGGTGAAGGGCAGTTAAAGCAACAGGTGTTTGTGGCACAAAGCAGTTTGGGATCATTGAAAGTAAGGTATAGTATTTCAAATGCAATCCAGCTAGATCTTTTCTCAATTCAATTCTGGACCCACCTCATATCTATCTGTAGTTCCTATCCAAAACACATATACTGGTGGCCCAACTCAATGCTGTGTTTATCCAGCTATATAAAGTAATATGAGTCCTTCATCTTTGTTTTTCTCCTATACGATAATTAGAGGAATCTCTTTGACAATACATTGCTTTCACAAATGAGGCTTTGGAATGTTTTTAGGCTCAAAGTAATTAGTAGCAGAGAACCTCTCCATCAACAGGATGGTCATAATCTGACTACAACATGTGAGATTCTATTCTACATATTGTTAATGTTTTAAGTGTTTTAAAAGTGATTTAACTTAATAGAACAAAACGCAGTTGTACTGACTACGACAGACACAAAGGTCTAAGCAAAACCACAGAGGTAGGGGACAGAGTAGACAGCTCTTCCTCTGAGACAGGAAGAAAGGATAGCTGGAGGTTCAGAGAAGTTTGGAGGCATAGGAGGCCGAGTAAGCCCATGTGGGAGGGCCAGTTTATCTGCTGGAACAAAAAGACACAGAAGTGGGATTGAGGGTCTAGGAAAAGGGTCCGAACAGTCTCCATGGAGAAAAGAATAAGGAGAAAATAAGACCGGCCTGAAAGGAATGCTAAGGACCAGTAAAAGGCCCAGCTGAGGTTAAATAGCATAGATTTGTGGCAGACGGAATCGGTATGGTTTCATACCTTTCTCTGACCATGACCAGCAACCCAGAAGTGGGAGCAGAGAAAGATAAGGCCTGGTGTTACCTCAGGTTATCAAGGGCTATCAAAGAGGTGAAAAGTCAAGATGGGACAGATCTTGGGGTTGTAGCAGAGATATCACAGAAATTGCTGGCTGTGAGGGTCAGGCTAAATAGGAAGTGAGGAGAGGCCAGAAAGGAGTGAAGAGACTGAGAAAAGAGGAAGAGTTTCAGGAACCAAAGATTCTGATGAGGGCAAGAACAGGTGATACAGGAGTGAGGGAAGGGGACCAGTGGAAGGAGATGAAGTTGTGGTCAGAAGGGAATGTCAATGTTCAAGATCTTGAGTTCCAAGTAATGACAAGGTCGAAGGTGTGGACATTTTGGTGGCTGGCTGAAGTGGAAGTAAAGATTATTCATGGTTGAGGAATTGTGAGTCCAGGGTGTTGGAAAGGTCTTTAACTCTGAACTAATTTCCACTTGGGATATCTTGTCACCTCAAGTTAAACTCCTCATTTTCCCCCCCAAACAGCTCCCCCAACCTCTCTCTCTCTCTGTTAATTAGGTCACCATTTGCCCATAGTCTTGTGGGCTAAAACTTTGGAGTTGCCTAGTTCTTCCCTCTCCTTACTCTTCTATGGCCAATCACTTCCATATAATTGCCTATAGTTAGACAATTCCCATCAATTCTCTTTTCGAAATGTCTCATATTCATTCCTCTCTTTCCACACTCACCCTAGGCCAGACCCACCACTTCATATTGAAGGCTGTGATTCCTGCAAAAGCCAAAGCTGGCTTCCTTGACTCTAATCTGCCTTTCTATTCAAGCAGTAAGCCAGTTGCCAGGTCAATCGATTATTTCTACACAACACTCTCCTCAACTGTTCACAAACATACAAGGGCTCCCGGAGCCTATGAAGCTAAGTATAAATTCCTAAGCCTGGCCCATCATAATCTTTAAAGGCTTCACAAATGCTGCCTCAAACTGAATCAGGGCCTACTCTACCCAAGCAACTAGATGTAGCAAGAGACCACCTACCTTGTCCTCAATGTTCAAACTGTAATCAAATCAAATAGCTTGGCCAAAGTGTATCTCAGGGCACTCAAGGAACATGCAGCTCTGACTGTTAAGTCAACGTGAGTCATCTTTGAAAAACTGCAAAAAAACTATGCCAAAAAGAGATGACTAGATATGGGCAAAAGCCATACCGACTGTAAGAAAAAGGTAATCTATCAGCTTGTAAGTCTGACTTTGATTCCTAACAAAATTCAAGAAAGCATTATTCCAAGGAATCACTTCTGAGAACTTTGAAATGGAAGCAGTGATCCCTAAGAGGCAGCATGGGCTCATTAAGACCAGCTTGTGCCAAACTAATTTCATTTCCTTTTTTTTTTTTTTGGGCAGGTCTAACTTTTGGGATTAGCTCTCATTTCCTTTTTTAATTAAAATGGTAGATTAGAAGCCATCTACACAGAACACTTGGATTTCAGCAAGGCATTTACAAATTGAAGTCTCTCATAACATCCTTGTGGACAAGATGGAAAGACACGGGTTAGAATAGATTTGGAACTGGTTGACTGGACCTAAAGAGTCAATGGAGTGATATTAATCCTGATGTAAGTCTGTAATAGAGCTGTCTTATTGAAAATTTTTATCACCGTCTTGGATAAAAGCACTGATGGCATGCCTGTCAAATCTGTGGATACATGAGGTTGGGAAGGACAACACACTGGATGTCAGGATGTCAGCAAGCTTAGAAGAGGCCAAATTGAACGAGATGAAACTTAACAGGGATAAAAATAAAATCCTGTATTAGCTAAAGACAACAACAACAAATGACATTCCCTCCTGCCTCCGTCCCCAAATCCCAACTACTCAATGACAGGACAACGGGTAGGGAACCACACACCAAACAAAAACTCTGGGTTTGTTTGTCCATCCATATCTGGGATTAAATTGGGCACAGGAAACAGTCTGACAGGCACTCATCCAAATGCAGCCCAGCTACCTGTCAGTAACTAAATGGGGGAGGGAAGGGTCCCACTGTCCTCAGTTCTGGGAGGCAGGGGTGTGTCTCATTTTAGAAAAGCCCCAAGTTGGAAGGTGTCCAGAAAAAGCGCTTAAAACTATGCCATACAATGAATGCTTGAAGGAACTAGAGCTGTCTAGCCTGCAAAAGAGAAGATTTATGAGGACATGAGAGCTATCTTCAAATATCTGAAAAGCTACCATATAGAAAATGAAAGAGAAGAATTCAGCTCAATGTAAGGAAAAGCCTCCTAACAATCAGAGCTGCCCAAAGTGTAACAGGCTGCCTCAGAAGGAAGTGAATTCCCACTCAATGCCAAAGGACAGCTAGGTGGCTCAGTGGATGGAGGGCTGAGCCTGGAGTCAGGAAGCCCCGAGTTCAAATCTGGTCTCTGACATGTACTAATTGTATGGCCCTGGGCAAGCCACTTACCTGTCTGTCTCACTTTCCCCATCCGTCAAATGGAAGTAATAATAGCACCTACCTCACAGGGTTGTTGTAAAGACCGAATGACACAAGGCAGACACTTAATAGATGCTATTTTATTTGTGGCAATCAAGGTTAAGTGACTTGCCTAGGGCCAAACAGCTAGTAAGTGCCTGAGGCTGGATCTGAACTCCCCAAATATATTTTTAAACAATTAAACTTATACCTAGAGTTGTCCATTCCCTAGAGCAGAATAACATGGTAAAACATTACTTAATCTCCTGAGGTCTTAAATACACACTAGTGTATTACTAAATGCTGCTGGGAAGGAAGAGAAAGCATGAGTAAATGGCCTCTGGATACCTGGAGCTCACCACCCCCATTTTCCATACCTGCAAGTTCTCACTGATTCTAGGACCTTTTATCAGACTGCAGGCAAGCGAGCACGCAAGCATTCCCAATCATCTACCTGAGAGTTTTGGGCCAAAAGACAAGGCAGATCCCTGACTGAAGCTTGAGGCTAATGATCCAGTGGGTACAGCAGTAGACCCTGTAGAGGCCAATAATCCAAATCCTAAACCTGGAGAGAAATAAAGGAATAGACAGAAAAGACCAATTAATGACAGATAGCAAGCAAGTACACGTGTATCTGAAAGAAAAATGATCAACATTGCTTTATCAGCACTTTAGGGTGTAGAGCCACTTGGCAGTTGTTTTCCGACACTGCCTACAGCTTAGCTATCCCTAAACTGCTGCTTTCTACACAAGGAGGTGTCAGTAAAAAGACCAGTGCATCGTCAGTCTTCCTAAAGCACACACGGAGGAAATGGCGTTCAATATTGCACCAATTATGCTATTGGCAATACATATTTTTTCAGTCCAACGAAACACAATCACATCCTAGTGCCAAAGGTTGTATTTAGCTGAAATACTGTGCCTGCACCTATAATCTTAATCACTTGGCCTCAGAACTGGTATATTTTCAGTTGCCTAAACTGTACCCAACAGTTGGCTGACTTTTAAATACATTGCTACAGTCACTTACTTTGAACTGAAAGTAACCTTACTCCTTCAGAGTCAAGGGTTTCAGAGACAAAGAGTTTTGTTTTCCTAGAAACAGGACCTTTCCCTGGTGATTGAAACCAGTATGAAAAAAATTTCCCCACCCAACACTAAATAAATGATATAATTATAGCCAAGCAAAACCGAGTTAATGGTCTATAACTTTATTCCTTTAGTTTCTGGCAAGAATCAAGAAAATAGGCCTCATTTAGTTAGGCTTAAATGGATTTTTTGGTAGTGATATTCTGACATCAATCTGTTCCCCCTTCCCCCTGTATTCTAAACATATTATAAATGGCTCCTTCTTCACATTTCTTGTGATACGTTATCTCATTAGCTCTCATTTTTTTCTTGGCCATAAACCTCTGAAATACTGCTGAATCTATAGCTTATTAAAGCCCATTACAAAATCAAGTCATTATATACATTCATTTAGAGGCTCCCCCAGCAGCTTTCCAATACTCTATAACATCTATCTAAAATAAAAGCTGGCTCATTTGGGATCTTATCATTAGAACTCTTTCTTAATTAACATTTCTGTACATCTACAGTACAACAGTCTATTTTCCTAACAACAGACAACTCTAGGGTCATACTACAAGCATCCTTTGCTCACTCAAAATAATGAGAGAAAAAGAAAGGTAATGGATCATGTTAGCTGAAAACTGGTAACCCAGGTAAAATGTATACTAGCTATATACTATGTATAAACTATTAAGCAGAATGTTTCATCCAAAACATCCCATTCCCCAACCATGCCAGACATCAAAGGTTAGTATGACTACTTTTAATTTGTTCTAAAATTCTACAGTACTTATTACTCCAGTATGGCATTTTTTGGTCTCTCTCCCTGAAACTTCATTTCAGAAGTTATGTTTTAAAAAGCAGCAAAGAACATGCCACAGTGAATAGGAATATAGGCACACAGGTGTCAAAAGGTCTAATGAAACAGACTAGTATACCAAGTGATCCTGGAATTCTCTCTCAACTTATTTAATCAACAGTTTTACTAGTTTCAGAAATCTCCACAAAGAAACCTCCCCCAAATAAGCTAAGTTACTGTGAAAATATATCTAAGACTCTCACAAGGAACCTTGGATAGGCGGGTTCTCCAGGAGAGAGCAAGCAGTTGAAAGCTTACCTGTAGGCTGTCCTCCAAGGCTGAAGGCAGTATGTGGCTGTGTGGAAGTTGCTGCAGTAGAAGCTGGAGTGGCAGCAGCAAAGGTTAACCCTGTAAGTGCTGTTGGTTGACTTGCATTCCCCATTGAGCCGAGGTTAAAACCAGTGGTCCCCGTCTGGGAAGCATTTCCACTGGGGAAGGAGAATCCTATAGATGATGTAGGTTGGGTGGCGGTGGTAGTAGGAGGGCCAAAAACAAAGCCAGCAGTTGTTGAGGCCTGGCTTGACACACTGCTTGCTATGGAATTAGTAAGTGTGCTGCTGCCAAGCCCAAAGCCCCCTGTGATACCTGAAGAGAGTGGGGTGCCACTGCTGCCCAAATTTAACTTTGGTGTACTTAACCTAAATGGAGAAAGGAAATGCGTCAGAACTATGACTAACAAAGCAACACAGAAGCCCTGTCAGTTACTAAAGGGCAGTTCTTAGAGCCCACACCAAATTAAGTTATAACTAGGAACAACTGTACTAGATTGTTTTTTAGCTTAATACACAGAAACAGAGCCAGATCTTAGTATATTTTAAGACTGTAATGAGCTAGCTGCTCATTCACAGGTATGCAAGATCCTGGTCTGCTCTGCATAAAGGAGAAAGATCACTCTAAACTAGGATTTGTGTGTGGGGGGGGAGTGACTCCTAGGATTTTCTTTAGGGTGGGGAGAAATGCTATGTCTTTGGACAGATTATTTTCATAAGATAAGTTGGTGTTTTGGAGAGTGAGTGGCAAGGCCAAATGACAGGCATCCTATTAATTTTTCTCCGGTACAGGTCCAAAAAATTTTAATGCATTTCATAAACCTAGATAATAAATGCTCTGCTGCTCAACTTGCCTTCCCAAAGAAGTGCTTATCCTGGCATTCTTTAGCCATAAACTATTAGATAATTGAAATGACGGGGAAAGAAAAATTCAGGAAGGTAACTGCTCAATTACCTCACAGGTGTCATTGAAAGCAGCAGTAAATGGTTCTCTCAGTCACTAAAAGGAATGGTTGGGTCAGACTGGATTGACAAAGAAACGAATTTTTTTAAAAGGAGGGAGGGGGATGCTTTTAATGCTAAGATATAGGAAGGAAGAGTTTTTGGTCATTACATTGATAAAGATCACTCCAGAGAGCCACAATAAGGACACATTCCAAACTCTCAGAGCCCTCCTCCTATCCTTCAGTGGGTCACAAAGAATTCTGGCTGCAGATCAGCCTTCAATTTGCTTCAATCCACAGACAGGTTTAATTTAAGAGAGTACTTAGGGACTCAGTGGCACAATTCCAAATAGTAGTTTTATAAATGCCTTCCTATAAAATTGATTGACCCTTTATCCCTGCTCCAAACTAAAAGCTTGTCCTTGAGAGGTGATTCTATCCATAGCCGCTTAGAGAGCCAGAAACTGTATAGCTCTTACCCTAAGGAAAACCCCGAAGTGGCGGAACCTGGAGTTGTGGCCTGTGATCCAAAGCTGAAGCCTGGAGTCTGTGTAGATGAGGCAGGGGTGGTCAGGGAGAACAAACTAGTAGCAGACGTGCTTGCAGTAGGCTGGGAGGGAGTCCCAAAATTAAACCCTCCTCCAGAGCCAGGTGTGGAGAAAGAAAAGCCTGGTCCTGGTGTGGTGGTAGTTGTCTTTGCAGGGCCAAAGGCGAAACCACCTCCAGTGGCAGGAGATCCTCCAAAATTAAAATGACTCATGATTCCAAACCCTAGTTTGGGGGGGAGGGGGGAGGGGAAATCAGGTCATTTTAGAAATCTAAATGGGATGAAGGAAAAAAAAAACCCTACCATACTATAGCAATTGGAATTCTCAGTACCAAAAAAAAAAAACACCCCCAAAAAAGCCTTTGGTCTCAGAAAAAGATTCCCAGCTAGTTCCTATATTCCTAACTTTCTTGAGAACAATTTGAAACATGTAATGAACTGACAGGAAGATCCTTAAATAACTCACTTCAGAAACAATGGAAAGCCAGTGAGTCAGGTAAGATTTGTCAGTAGTAGTACATACAAGTTTATATGATGCTTCATTAACGGATACTGGAAAATAATGAAAATTTCATTGGGCACCAAATGATTTTTAAGTGGTCCTCCAAATGAAAATGTTATAGTGTGGCACTAAAAACAGTAGCTACTAGTCTATAACTGAAAACATGTCAGTTTTTAACACAGCCATGAAGATCTTAGTTTAGAACAATGCTGAAGCTTCTCCTACAGGACAGTTATCTGAGCCTATAGTTCCCATTAGTCCAGGATTTTGAGTTTGTAGAAATCTTAAAATAGGAAGAGGCCTCAGAAGTCACATAAGTAAATTGGCCAATAAGCATTTATTAAGTGCCTACTACAGGCACTACGCAAAGAAAGGCAAAAGACAGTCCCTGATCTCAAAGAGATCACAGGCTGATGGAGGAGAAAACATGCAAAACAGCTATGTATAAACAAGCTATAAAAAGGATAAATTGGAAATAATTAAAAAGAAGAAGGCACAAGAATAAGAGGAGTTAAGATAGACTTCCTGTAGGAGATAGAATTTTAGCTGGGACCCAAAGGAATACAGGAAGTGAAGATGAGGGAGAGCATTCCAGGCAAGGGGAACAGCCAGACAAAAGGCCCAGAGCCAAAAGATGGAGCGTCTTGTTCAGGGAACAGCAAGGAGGCCAGTGTCACTGAGTCGAAGAATACATGGTAGGGAGTAAGATGTAAGAAGACTGGAAAGGCCAAGGCAGAAAAGGTTATAGAGGGCTTTGAATGACAAAGGGTTTTTTATTTTGATGCCAACAGATTTTACTGAGTGGGGGACAGGGAAAACATTTTGGCGGCCGAATGGAGGATAGACTGACATACTGGTGAAAGGGGAGAGACTTGAGGTAAGCTAACCATCCAGCAGGCTACTGCTATAGTCCAGGTGTAAGGTGATGAAAGCTTGCTCCCAGGTGACAGTATCAAAGGAGAGAACAAGGTGTATTGGAGAAGTGTTGCAGAGATAAAAGCAACAAACTGGATACGGGAGAGTGAGAAATGGAGAGCAGTAAGGAGGATACCTGGTTGGGAGCCCAGGGGACCGGGAGGGTAATGGTGCTGATGGGGTGCCTGGGTGCTTGTGCTTGGACCCCAATTTCTCCCTAGCCTCAGAAACACTATCCCTGACAGTTTCTCCCCAGCCCAAGGACACTGTCCCTAGCAATTACTCATGAGTAGGCCCCAGCAAGCCTCTTATCTCTCTCCCTGGTGCAGTTACAAACAGTACCTGAAGGAATTATTAATTTGAATTGGCTTTGCCCTGGGTCATAAAGACATTCTTACCCACTGGGCTATCTCTACTACCGCCCTACCTCATTATCTATATCCTGGACTCCTCATTAACTGTATTCTAGACTTAAGACATATGTATACTCCCTACATCTATCTTGTCAATCAAGACATTAATTGGTGGAAGACTGGACAACTTTCTCAGTTACCCCTGAACTCTAGTTAACTTAGTGACGTAGCAGGCCTAAAATCACACCTCCATGTGCCCCCCCCCCCCCCCCCGTGGGCTTTTCCCAGTGAACTCTGGGTAAAACGCCTGCCCAGTAGGTACAAGAAGTACATGTTCTTTTAAGAACTGACCGTTCCTTAACCACTCCCTAATCCCATCCTGAATCACCTAGTTACCATATTTGGCACATGTTTTATTGTATTTTATCCTACATAAACTTTAGCTGTACTACTCTAAGATCGCAGGATCCTTAAGAATGCTTGCCTGCTGAAAAGCATAACAATAAACTTTTTGCCACCTTGACTTAAAGAATGCTGTCTGTGAATTCATTCCAGACGACCCCATTGTGTACTTCAGTCTTTGAGGGGTCACAACCTCTCATACTGCAACAGTGCCCTTGACAGTACTAAGGAAGTATGGTGGGGGGAGGCAGTTTAGGGGAAAAGATAAAGAGTTCAGTTTCCGACATGTTAATACTTTAAGATGTCTACTGGACATCTAGTTGGAGATGTCTGAAAGGCAGTTCAAGATGGGTGACCACAGGTCAGCAGAGAGGTTAGGGCAGGATAGGTAGATTTGAGAATCATCAGCACAGAGATGGTTATTAAATCCATGGGAGCTAATGAGATCACCAAGTGAAATAGTATAGAGGGAGAAGAGAAGACTGTCCGTGACAGAACTCTATGGGACAGCTATGGTTAGTGGGTGTGAACTGGATAAAGATCCAGCAAAGGAGACTGAGAAAGAATGGTCTGATAGGTAGAAGGAGAACCAGGAGAGAGTGGTATCCAGAAAATCTAGAGAAGAGAGTATCAAGGAGAAGAGGCTAACAGTTTCAAAGACTGAATGAGGACTGAGAAAAGGCCATGGATATGGCAATTAGGAAATCATTGATAAAAGCCAAGTTCTATGAAATTAAGAGAATGACAGGAGAAGAAGTAGAGGTAGCTATCATGGACAGCCTTCTCAAGGAATTTAACCACAAAAAGCAGAAGAAATATAGGACAATAGTGGAGATGGAAGGATCAAATGACTTGTTTTTTTTTTTTTCAGGATAGGGGAGATCCAGGCCTGTTTGCAGGCAACAAGAAAGGACCCCGTAGAGAGGGAGAAACTGAAGATAAGTGAAAGAGTGAGGATGACAGAGGGGACAGTATCTTGGAGAAGACAGGATGGAACGGAATCACTCTAGCAGGTAGGGGAGAAAGGTCACCTCTTCATGTTAGACAGGAGTGAAGGAAGAGAGTGGCAGAAGGAATCTGAGTGACAGGAGATGAAGAAGAGGACAGAAAACGGAACTCATGGCAAATTGCCTCAATTTTATCTGTAAAATATGGGGCAAAATTCTCAGGTGAGAGAATGGGGGGAGGGAGAGCCATGGGAGCTGCTCTGAAGAGTGGGAAAGTAAGTTGATAAGGGAGGCAGAGTAGGATTGTCTAGCAGCAGCAAGGGCCCATTTGAGGTTCTGTACCATAAATTGGTAGGGGACCCAGTAAAAGAATGGCTGTGATTGTGTGTGCAGATGGTGGGAGCAATCCAAGACTGAGGCTTGGCAAAGCATGAGAGAATGGTGTAGAGTTGTCTGGTTCACCAAGTGGTCAAGACGGGGAAAAAAGGAGAAAGCCTAGTGCAGAGGAGATGGCCTGGGAGAGAACTGAGGGGTTGGAGGGCCACAGTGTGGATGAACAATAGGGTTTGGCATAAGCAAGCAAGAGGGAGAAAAGGAAAGTCAATAGATTGTGATCAGATAAGGGAATTTCAGAGTTCTGAACATGTTAATGGTGAGTGATGGTAAGATCAAAGGCATAACTATTTTTATGTGTGGCTAAGGTAGGCTAGAGGAGTAGGTTGAGGAACTGGCTGGTACATACAGTGTGTGAATGTAAAGAAATGAGATTGGTATTTTGTTTAAGGATCTTTTTTATCTTTGCTTTTACATTTAAACGCCCTAGAACTTGGATGCCCAAACGAGTGCTTCCCTTCAAAGGAATCACAGTGAGAGGCTCCGCTCCTCTAATGAAGCCACCAGGTTTCACAAGGCCAGGCCAAATAGTGGGGAGTACCAGGCTTGAAATCAGGAAGAGCTGAATTCCTTATCTGTAAAAAGGGGATGACAAGAGCACCCATATCCCAGGGTTGTTCTGAGGATCAAATAGATAATATCTGTGAGCAAACTGCTTTACAAACCTCCAGGGGATATATAAATATTGGCTATTTTTACTATTAACTCCTTCTAGAGGTGGTCCCAAAAGTCTTAGTACAGTTTTAAGGTATTAAAACTTAACAATCCTGGGATGTACGTGCTCTTGTTTCTTAAGCTTTATTAAAGCTTAAAACTGCACTAAAATGTTTGGGACATCTAGTATTTACGTGAAATATTTTAAGTACATATACAGTTATTGAAAAGGTAATTTCCAGTGTTGATTTCTCATTTGTTTCCTTCCATTATGTGAATGACTGCCCTAACTATAGTATGAAAATATTTTAACGCAAGCAGCTTCTTATTTCAAAGATTTTAGGGACACTAACGAAATTAGTCAGCACTACCAGACTGAAAACATCAAATGTACTATCCACTAAGATGACTTGTTCCTCTCCTTGTCTTTGGACTTCGTTTTCTCGGTCTTTTTCTTTTTAGCCTCATTCCTTACTGACAGGTAGTGTATTCAGCCTGGCACAGGGTGGTTAGAGAGTGTGCCTAGAAGTCAGACCTCACCTCTGATTCACACTGGCTATGGGACTCTGGGCAAGTTTCCCCCATAAGGCTAGAAAATGCAGATTATACGCCTGCCAGCATTCCACTGTGGGGTTTTCTAACAGGAGTTCCTTAAACTAGAAGCATCAAACTCCAGGACACCCAAGAGTGCCCAAGCCCAATTTAGATACAATTGGGAAATGTTTGACAAGGTAAATAAAAATACAATACAACACAGATAATGTTAATTTGTGGATTTCTAAGTCAATACAGGATGAAAGAGATCTGTTTCTACCAGAGTTTGACATCACTTCCCTTCAACAAATTAAATCTTGGGTCCAAACCAAATCCAAACCAAACTTTATCATGGTGTGGGAGAAGAGATAGTTTTCACCTTTCACAGTCAAAAACCAAAAAGAATGAAAAAATGCATATTGCCCAGCCTACGTAAGACACACAACAGTAAACAAGACAATCGAATAAGCATTTGTTAAGAACCAATCACGGGCAAATCACACAGTGCTAAACACTTGGAACTA